AAAGAAACTCCAACCTCAGACTTTTGCTTTTCCTTTCCAAACAAAGTTCTTGAGGCCATCCTTCTTATCTGCCATTTATAGAAAAGTAAAATAAATATGAATTATCTACATTTTCGCTGCTACTTTCAAACAATTATGTAAAAATAGCACCATTCTGACACCTCCAGAGATACATTTAAGGTTGCTTCTATAATCTGTAGAGATGAAAACAAGAATTTGATGCTGTTCTTTATTTTCAGCCTGTAAGACCCCATTGTAGCTCCAAGAGACAGAAAAAAAAGAGTGTTTCTGTTAATTCTTGTCCATTGACCACTGATTTGCTCACTAATGTTCTGACAGATCCAGCTGAGCTTATCTGAAGAAGGAAAAACAGCTGAACAGCTGTCACTGAACTCATAATTCGTCATTCAGAGGTCAGAATTGAGTGTAATTCTGGCACTGCACTTTGAGTTTTTCGTGGATTAATGTTTAAAGCCCCAAATGAAGAAAATAAGTTCAGGTGGGTAATTGATCCTGTACTGCTGCATTTGTGAACTAAGTTGATTTTGGGAGTCACTGGTTTCCCAGTACAATCCTATAAAGGAAGGTTTTCTTTCAAATCATCATAGTTATATCTGCTGTATTTGGATATTTGATATTTCAGTCAAGAATCTTTCTTTGATTACTAGGCACTGGCATTCATTCTATTTGGCCCTAAAAAAAAAAATAATTTTCCTTGATATGAAGAACCTCTTGAAAATAGCCTGTAACCTCAGTTTTTATGTAGCAGTTCCACTGACACTAATTAGAAATTATAGTCTGTGTCCCAGAAGATTCTAATTAGCCCAGTGAGGACTTTACTTTTGCTGAGTTCACATGAAAAGTTTCCAGAACAGAGCCCAAAACCCCAAAATGTCCTATCAAAGACCTTTACAGAGAGGGTAATCAGACATTGGAATGGGCTGCCCAGGGAAGTGGTGGATTCTCCATCCCTAGAGGTTTTTAAGATGAGACTGGATGTGGCACTTAGTGCCATGGTCTAGTAACCACGGCAGTGTGATTGGACTTGGTGATTTCAGAGGTCCCTTCCAACCTGGGTCATTTTATGATTCTACAGTTCTATGATATTAGAGGTCACAATCAATTGGAAAATAGAGTTCAGATGTTCTAACTCTTCTATTCCTTTTGCTAAACCTTACAATGCATCTGGACCATCCCCATTTCACATCCTACTCTTGCATTAAGGTCTGTGCAGCTTTAGTGTGGCTTTGGCAGAGTATCACAATAATGGACAACTTGAGATCACTTTCATCTGGGTGATAAGGGACCAAGGGGAACAGGCTTTGCGAAACAGGATCTGTGAGAAATAGCGTCTACTTCTAGAATATGATTTACAAAAGCTCTTAACCTTGGTCTAACTGCTAAAGCAGTGGTAACCTCTTTAGCATGTGCAGTCAGGTCAGTGCTAAGACTTCCTACCTGTCTTTCAGGAAAGATGCCCCTGTTTAAGTGGGTCACTTCATTATCCCTGGTTGATGGTTTGAAAGCCTCTGCAACCCTATTCTGTGTTTGCATTGAGCTGTACCTTTAAAATGAGGGGGAAAAAAATCACTTTTTTATAAGAAAGCAATAATCTCTCCAGCATTAGGAAGTATAAAGGAATAATTGTATAAATTGCAGCTGTCCAAAGTTGGCATTAACTTAAGTACTAGAGCTGATTGTTGGCATCTGCTCTTACCCACAAAAAGAGGAGCAGTTTTCGGGTCTTTTGAAGTTTGTGTATAAATCTGTCTTTCCACTCTTTAAAAGCAAACAGCCAGGACTACATTTGTAGTAAGTCTCTAAATACATTTACTCAGCTTGACAACACCTCTGTTCATATTACCACTGCTGAAATTTGAGGGCAAGGGAGGAGGGAAATGGTGACAAGTTTTATCTTGCCAATTTTAAAATGAAAATTTGTCTCCATTTTGCAGCCAGTTCCAATTTGACATTCCAGGGAGCTCAGTCCAGATTAAAGCCAAGACAAATTCTCCTTTATTCCTTGTATGAGCTCAGCTGGAATCTCTCTGGGTAACTGTCCCTGCAGAGAGGCAGTTCAGCCAGTGAACCTGTGAACCTTACCTCTCTGTTGATTGAACCTCATAAAAATATGAAAAATATAACCAGAAGCCACATAAATAAGAGAAGCTTTTAAAGATTAGACAAATATTGATTATTGGGTATTTTGGGGTAAGACTCTAAGCAATAAAATTGTTTGAAAAAATGTATTTCTATTTCACATATTTTGACAGCACTTTTTCATTCCAAGATAATTTGAAAAGTGTAAATCACAGAATAGAGTAGCATATTTTTCATTATAAAGACATTTTGAAGGATAGCTGATGACCAGCCTTTTGACAATTTTTCATCTCCCACTCTTTTTTGTTGCCAACATCACTTATTACATTCTCTTTTTCACATCCCCAAGCATAAATATGGAGATAGATTGTAACCTGTACACTTGTACGCCTACATTTTAGAAATATTGCAGTACTCAGAATTAAAAATCAAATTCTAATACATTAATTTCTCATTGTTTCTACTTTTTTGTTTTTGCTCAAAGTAGTTTGACATATTAACATAAAAAAGAGAGACTGTAATATTTTTTAAAAACCCATTAGTATCCTAATTTCTAATATATTCTGTGAAAGGAATAGAGAAAATTCTCTGAGAATTTTTTTCTTACTAGAAAGATAACATAGCTGTCAAAATTATGATAACTCTGCGTTTGTTCTTGTACTTTTGACCTTAGAATATATAAATTGATATTCTATTTTGACCCTTTCTGAAAAGAGAAACCTTCTCTTCATTTTTGACAGAAATCTTCCCATAGTTTTGAACAGATGAAGACAAATGCAGAAGGGAAATAGGATCCATTCTAGCTAGATGAACAGATTAGACATCCATGTCAAACATTATTATAACCTATATGCTTCATAGACTGGAAGTTAAATACTGCACAGACTCAAGTCAAGCATTACAAAACCAAAACTGTTTCTCAGCCCACTTACTTCTTCCTGTATGTTCTCAATGATTCAGTAATTAACAACATATTGAGACAACATTTGAAGCACTGCAATGATGCACAAAGTGCACAAAAAAAGAATTAATATATTTATAGGCTAAAATTTGCTGCAGCCATACGAACTTTTCATAATCAGGTTCTGCGTGAGGGGAGAGGATGCTTGCAGAAGTGAAACAAGTTCAGAAGCCAGACTGCAGATCTGCTTGCTCTCTCACTCACTCCCTGCATGCAGCAACCACATTCCCTTATCAGCTTCTTAAAGCCCTGAGATTACTGGATCCTTACAAATATAAATCCATAGCTTCATGTGCCCTTCCCTTACTCTAGCAACAAATTTAAAGAGGAGACCCTTCTGCATAGTGTTCTTGAGGTATTTTGCTATTTCAGTGGTGGTTTCTGACCTCTTTGCCCCAGGAAGATAATAAAGGCGTACAAAGTTTTGGGCCAGCCCCTTGACACCAGCAAAGGTTTTCTCACACTTACTCTCCACTGCAAGTTTGTTGTGTTTTCCACTCTCTGGAGCAGTCCTTCCCCAAGACAGCTGCTTCATTGGCCAAAGTACAAAATGAGGACTATTTTGGGGAGCCACCAGGATTGCATGGCTAAAATTTTATTGAGGAGGATTCAGGACATGGCAGGACCCCTGTCCCCAGAAAAGAGGCCCATCAGCACTGGGGAAGAATGACACAGCTCTGTAGAACTTGGTATGCTGAGACCTTCTGAGCCCATGTTCAGCCTTGGGCAGAGGTTGCTGTTGGGCTCTACCTGGGAGTCCCAAGTAAGAGCAACTACACATTTCACTGAAGACCAGGGCCTCAAGTCAATAATAGGCATACTAAGACTAGAACATTTTGGGCCAAACTGAGCAGAGCAAGAAGGTGAATGTTTAAAATTAATCAAGTTTTCTTATTCCCATTAGATCAGGGTTTGCAATATGTTTCTCCCTCTTTCTCTCTGCTCCTAAAGTACATGCACACATACTTGCTTCAGTAGCCCACCTGCATAAACAAAGTACTTCATGAGTGTGTTACAAGGATAAACTCAGCAGTGTTCAAGGGGTTGTCAGACCCTGTTAATGCAAGCACTGTGAGGGAGGCTGTGTGACATGACAAACTGAACTTTTGGAGTCCCAGCATCTCAACTCTATTCCAGCTTTACCACTAAGCCATGCCTCAGCTGTCCCACCTGTAAAAATGTGTGTAATCACACTGCCCCCTTCTCAGGACTGCTTTGATGCAACTCATTGTATAGGAAGAATGAGACATTATAAAATATAGAGTCACAGTTCCTGCTGCTTTCCCCCTGTATTTACACTGAGGAAAGCAGGAATTCTGTTCAAATTTTTCAAAAGAGTGGATGCTTACAAGTCTGGTACTGATAAAATATGGCCTGCTGGCTTAGCAAAACCACAGGAACAAAATGAAAAATCTGCTCATTTCATTTCCTGAGAACAAACACACAAAATGAATGTCACACATTTCAGTAACAAGTGGTGTCTATGTAGTTCAGAGAAAAACTTCTGGTCCAAGGAGACAACAGATTTTATTATACAAATTAGGAACAGCAATTGCCTGCCAAGACAAAGGAGCACTGATCAGAACACGACACACAAAGAAGGAAGAAAGGAACTCTGATTTAACCTGCAGAATACTAAAATTATTTCTGGTCAGCTTGTGCTGTTGGGGAGCTTAGCCGAAATCCTCTCCATTTGCATGGCTCAAGGAGTACACGTGATGAGATCCCCCATCAGGTCTGCAGTGACAGTGCTGGGGAAGCCATGTCCACCTGTCCTGGGAAGGAGTGGGCACCATACCTCAGCAGCAGCAGCCCCTTGGCTGTCCACCCTCCCCAAAACTGCCCTGGTCCCATTTTTGTAGGATACCTCTAAACATTCAAGAAAAGCGGTTTGCTGTCCAATCTATAACTTTTTTTTTATGTTATCAGTATTGCAGAAAGAAAAGGTCAGATTATCTGTAAGAAGGTGACCAGCAGCAGAAGAAGCTGCCCTGCATGGAGCCTTGGCTCCAGAGGAAAGAATCTAGTTGGGAATGAGGTCAGTAGAGGTGAAACTTGTTAAATCTCCTATCTCGCTAAATCTTTGATCCACCCTTCTTGGTCTAACCACTGCCTAGTCCACTGCCTCTGTGCTAGACTGGGAAAGGCAATGCCTTAAAGGAACTGAAGTGAATGGGAGATAGGAAGCACAGGAAGTCGCGATGGCACAGGAAAATATTGGGGGTGCTGGAAGAGGCCCTGCCCCATTGCAGCATCCTGGGCTATTTAAAAACTTGCTAAGTTGTCGCATACCTGTACCAATTTTTACCTCAGTCAGCAACACCTGAAAACAGAAATGGGCTTAGTGAGTATGTTTGGTCCAAGTAACTCCACCAGCTCCTCCCTGCTCCCCATGTACCTGGACAAAAAAATGTTCACCCGGAGTCTTCGCTGACATATGCTTTTACAGGTTTGAACTCAGCGCTGCTCCGGTCCAAAGAAAGGTAAAAGGAAGCTATAATTCTACTTTGCCTCACTCCACTGCAAATCTAAAGTTAAGCCATTTGCCTAATTAAGTTTAAATAATGCACATTTTTTAACATTAAAATATAATCACCTCTGTTTTGAATAATATGGAGCATTCATTAGGCCAGTTTGGCTTTCAGGTGTTTGCTCTGTTACCTTGTTCAACCCTGATCCATCAAGACCACATGTGAGTGGTATTTGGGAGCTCAGCTCCCCCAGTTCATCTGGATCCTTTTTACGATGTGTCATGTTCTTTCTGGCACCTGAGCGGGGAGCCCATCCACACACCACCTCAGCTCCTGTCACAGGATGCCAGGTCCTACATGGGTAAGTATAAAGTAACACAATACGGGCAAAAATGTCACCATAGCACACACCTCTGGTTTTAAAGGCAAGAAAATTTTCCACTTAATTCTTTGAAGGAAAAAGGTGGGGAGCAAGACAGGGTGCTAATGAGCCAGCATGAAATCCGTTTCTCCCTGTCATATACAGATAAATGTTACTTTTTAACTACAACATGGTTTAGCCATTTTGCAGCCTTTGCTTGAAAACTAAATTCCTCTTCTCTCATGGTCATATAGGTATGCCTTGTTTTGCAATGGACCTTTTCCTAACAGGCTTGATGTCTTCAGAAAATTTAGCTCACCGTTTTGGTGAAACACATTTGGAAGGAATTTCCTTCTGTTTCTTAACACTGAGCAACAGAGCCTCTAAAATGCTTATAGAGAGCACATTTTCCTGGGGCTGCAGGGAATGAGTCACTCCAAATAGACGTCAGATCAAATACAGCAAGTAATCAGTGAGCTGGCACCGACTGGCCTAAGAAAATAGCATTTCACTTGTCAGTCTCCCTGTACCTACCTGCAACAATAATTTTCAGGGTGCTATTCAGCAAGGGGATAGACCATCCCCTGCTGTGTTCCTGCTTCAAAGTTGTACAAATTAGCAGGAAATAGCTTGCTGTGCAATGAGAGAGGCCTTTCTGGGCTTTCTCCCACACGGCACTGAGCGCTCTGGCTCAAGGCCATGCTGTGGCTAAAGCGCCAATGCTCCACTGGCCTGTGTGGGTACCAGTGGGAGTCAGTGCCTTGGAATGTTGGGCCTCAAGGACTCATCTTTTAAAAAGCATTTAGGCACCTAACTATATTCTGCAGATTTAATTACTGTATAAATCACATCGGTGCAGTAACCCCAGAGTGGTGGGATGGGAAAGAATGTCCCTCAGCTCCAAAACAGAGCAAAGTCATTTACTTCTGCATTTTGCTTGCAGTTGCTTGAAAGGGCGAGACATGAACTCTCATAAATGGTGTTCCCTTGGTGCCCAGCTCTGCCATCCACACGTGACAGGTCACAGTGAAGTTTAGGGAAGTAACTTGATGACTCTGCTCCAATGTCCCCATCTGCAAAAAGGGGTTGTTCCAAGGTTCTGCTGGCCCATTAAAAGTGTGTGCAGCTCTGAGTGAAGAAAGTGATGATGAAGAGCAAAACTGCATATGTTGAAGTTTGGGTTTCACTATTTCTGTACTTTTAACAGAATTAATTTTTGTATTTTATTTTGCCAATTCTGCACATCCCAAAACTGCTGGCCACTAATGGCTAAATGCTACTTGGGGAGAAGAGGATAAACTGTGAATGAAGTTGTCTGTGCTTTGTTCCCAACTGAAGGAGCAGTATAACTCAAAAAAGACCTTACTAAGAAATGAAATCATTTTCTCAACCTTCTCTGTGAGCCATACTGAAGCATGGCAATTTTCCTTTCTGGTCAATAGTTATGGAACTTTCATGTGTTTTGGTTCATATTTATAATCTGAAACAGAGATAGAATATAAATATAAAAATAATTTTATTCTACTTAAAAAAATGCAGAAATAATTTTTTTTATCTTTAAATTACCTGCATTAAAGTTACCTCAAGATCCATTGCAAAGGTGTAGTAATTATTAGCTTAATTATTAACATCTCTCAGCAAGCTAATTAGCTGGGTACCAAATGAAAACCATTTTTGCCTGAGGTCTAGAGAGGCTAAACCAGAAGATTATTTTAATATTTCAGGTTAAATATTCAAGGTAGAAGAATTTCTTCTTCCGGAATCATGAGCTATTTCATTGCTCAAAAAGAATTTAGAAAAGACAAAATAAAAATCAAACAAAAATTATGAAAATTGGCCCACACCCTAACTTTAGGCACTGCTAAAAGATGGATATATCACCTTCCCCTCTCCATGATGGTGGCTATGCTTGTTGATTTTCCAACTAAAGGCCTCACCAGCACAAACATGTTGTGTCACTGTCTGAATGGACAGACCATCACTAGAGGGGACAAATCATCCAGATTTCTTATCATTGCACCTTCACCAGTGATATACTGAACCCTGTGACTCCCTCTGGAACAGAGGACACAGTATCCTGCAGGATGAAACTGCTGGGGATTCATCTGTAACCATCAGCAGGGATTAGATGAACTGAGCTGTGGTGGAGGAGCCTTTGGAGTTTGTGGTCTGCTTTGCCCTGGGTAGGAAGGACACCTCACAGCAGACAGACAATGCCACGTGTAAAAGAGACCATGAGTAACTCCTCAGACCAGCCAAGACCCTTGGTCAGTGAGGGACAGAAGTGTCCATCCTTCCAGGTCCCACTTCACCCTCCTCTCCCACGTCAGGACTCCAAATGTCACACATTGCCCTACTTTATCTATCTGGCCCCTTCAGCCATGTCCTGCATGAGGGGTCAGCTGTAGTGCAGCAAGACTGTCTCCCACTCTCTCCATTGCTGTGGGGAGTGATAGAGCCACAACCCACACACATCCTGCAGGCCCAGCTCATCCCTGTCTCACTCATTGCAAAATACAGTATGAGAATGTTTGCTCAGTGGTACTGGGAGAAGAACCCTGTCAGGGTCACAGGCATAGCCTTAGGAAAAGCAAAGAGGCACAAGCTTTTATCATTCAAAACCCTACATATTAGGGTTTATCATTCAAAACCCTACATACCCCTCTTGCTACAGGAAATTCAGATGCTTGCCCAGAGGTCTCATATTCTCATTTTGTTAAAATGAGGAAAGCACATGTTATTTAATTCTTGTTTTACATACATGCCTGAGCAGCCCAGAAAGGCTCTGCCTCACTGCTGCAGCAGCCAGCCTTTCACAGGGCAAGCCTGGGCCACGTAGCCTCATCCATCACCATTGCAGGCAGCAGTCACAGTCATTTGTCTCAGAAACGTACCTAACACCATCCCTCAAACATGATGGCACAGACACTGTTCTGTGCCTGCTCAGTGGGAGGCCAACAGAGAACCCTCTCATGTCTATCCAGCACAAAAGTCTTTTCAAGGCCGTTGTTTTCCCTGTTGTGCTATGAAAGATAACAGCTTCATACAAAAACAAACAGGTTTGCAAATTCTTCCTGGGTGCTAACATCATACTGATGTAATATACCTGGGGTTTGATGCAATGGAGCTTTTCAGCAAATGGACACTCTCTGCTCACACCTCCCCTGATACAAATTCTTTTTCATGGAAACAGCTAAACTGATTTTCTTCTTTTTAACAACTCAAATTAACTAAGTTTAAAAATGACCCTCTAACGAAAAATTAAAGCATCAAAATATTTAATTGAAATATAGGAAGAAATCCCTTCCTTGCCAGCTGTTACTGATGGAAATGAGTCAAAAACTACAAATGGGCTTAAGGAAAGATGATGATAATTTTATAAAACAACACATGTACTAAGGTAATAGGACAGGCATGCAACATAAACTAAAGCAACAAGAGAGTATTCCCCCATTCTCCTCCTCGGTGTTGAATGTGGACAGAAACAAGTTTTTGGGGCCAAGGAATGAGAAAGCAAGAGGATTCAGACAGCAACCCCACCACACCCTCTGCCCTCCTGCAGTCCTGACTCTCACATGCCCACTCTCAGCAAGCTGCTCAAGCTCCCAGCACAGCTCCTGCTGGGTACCAGTTGCCAAAGCTGTGCTGGGAGAATAGGAGTGGCTTAGCTGCAGTTTGTGTTGTGGCTGCCCATGCTGGGACAAGATAAGTGGTTTGTCGAGGGGATGTTTCCCCTCCCTTTTAGGCTCTGACCATGTATCAGAGTGTCAGGACTTGAAAGCTGTTAGTTCACCACGATGAGATACTCACCCTGAGCATGATTAATCAAAGTGATTGGAGCAAAGTAGTAGACAAATGCCCACATTAAAAATTAGGAAGCAGGAGAGAGTCTGTGCAGAGACCAGATATCTGACCTGTTTTAAACCCTACAGTTGGGCTTTCTTTTCAAAACAGTCCTGCAGTCCAATCCCCACGGTGAGTCTCACAGACTCTCTGATCTGATTATGGCCCATTCAAACTGAAAAGACTGACCGAGTACTCTGGATATTCAATTTCACTTGCAGCATGATAGCGCTTTATCCACAGAGCTCAGCTATCCCGTTTCCAAGTATCTCTCATAGAATTACAATGGTATTCAAATAGGTCTATGCAAGACTGCAATTGTTATAAGTTTATAATTTTAAATCAAAACAAGATTAGTCCCTT